TGGAATGGCCCCCCCAACCCTCCCTCTTCTGGATCCCTGACCCCCCTTTGCCCCGTGGCCCTTGGAAGGGCCCCCCAACCCTCCCGCTCCTGGATTCTCTGACTGGCAGTGGCCCTCGGACGGCCCCTCACTCCCCTGGGTTCGCCTCAGTTCGGGGTATTCGCGGGGGACCCGTGCCCTGCCGTCCCGACACCCGCCGGAGGGGGCCCTGGCGCTCGCAGCCCCCCAGCCCGCCTCCCGCCCACACTGCCCCCTCCCGTCGGCGCCGTTACCTTCTTGGGTTCCGAACTGCCCGAGAGTCGCGACTGCAGCTTCCCCACAACTTCCAACACCGATTCCGCCATTTTTACTGCTGGAGAGGCCTCCGTGGCGGAAACGGCTTCACCGCCCACCGACAACACTGAGCTTCCCCGTCCCTCGCCGCCATCTTCGCTCCTGGCAGGAAACGGAAACCAGACGTCTGGTCAACAGCCAGTCGCCATCCTGGGTGCTGGCAAGGAAGCTCCTGCGCCGAGAGGGGTCAGCCGCCATTTTGGATACTGGCAATAAGCTTCTGTAGTGAAAGGAGCCGCTGCCATCTTGGATATTGGCAAGAAGCGTCTGTGCTTAGGGGCAACCGCCATCTTGGTTGCTGGCAAGAGGCTTGTCTACCACCATGGGCCACTGAGAGCCAGCTACCCCCTTTCTACTGGTTTTTTTCAGTGGCTCCCTCTCAAACCCAACTGAGTTCACTGGGGACTATAAAGACAGGTGCCATCCCTCATACCCGTATCAACTGGGGCACCAGGAGGCCCATATCTGCACTGCTGCCCCTGTGCCATGTCAGAGACTGAGTTGCCATGGCACCACTACACGGTGGCAGCCAGGGACCCCCTGCGAGTTATTCCTGATAATGTGGTTCCCCCCCACACACACAGTCTGGGGAGAGGTGGAGACGGGGGCGTTGTGTAATGTCTCATAATGACCCCCTGGCTCGGCAGGCACAGGGATCACTACATACAGGCTTGGCAGACTTCAATTGTTTTCCTCATTTTGACAGAGAGCGTCAATACTCATTTTTAAGCATTTTAATTAGATTTTAATCTATTTACATTTTCACATTTGTGGGAAATTTGGGAGGGGCGGGGAAGGAATATCAGATAGTAATTATTTCCTGACAGTCGGTGCTGAGATTCAACAAGCTGAAACTTGATAACTGTTAAAACACAAAGTGTTAACATCGTGTGTCAAAATACACAAAGTAAAGATCCTGAACTCAAACGCTACTAAGCTCTCAAACAGCATTTTTTCTTACTTGGCCTACCTGTACATTGGAATTATTATCAATAGAAATAGTTTTTCAGCAATTTGTGTGTGTATGGTGAAACTGACATTTACCAACATTTACTGATAAAAATCTAATCCCTCTAACTAAACCTAATTACATAGATATATCAATAGCATTGGGTGCCAGTTACAGAATTATAGGTAGCCAGGGAACAATCACAGAATTAGAACTATTCAGCCCAATCCTGTCATTGTATGTATCGATGCTCAGACCCAGAATTACACATATTGGGCAGCAGGTTGTTCTAGGATTACAGGTATTACTGCTCTGGTCCAGCAATTATATTCCCAGACAAAAACCTATGCTAAGAAGGAGCCAGGGTTAAGATTATGTATCAATAGCTAAAGGGTAAAAATAGGTTGGAATTATCTCAAAATCAAAATTTTAAAACCCATGAAATTCAGAGTTAAGGTTACACTTAAAAAAACTCTAAACATGTTAAGGTCAGAAATACACAGTTAAGGCATAATACACAGTTAACAAATTTAACTCAGCCTAATAATGACCCCATGAACGGTACAATTTACAATTAAGGGATTTTAAAAGCAAATTCATTTTTTTCATATTTCCCTCATGGTGTTAATAATCATTAAAAAAGTATCTTAATTACACACTTAATTTCTTCAAGTACAGCCTATGCACAAGATTTCGGATAATCTTAACTATATGACAAGTTTGAAGAGTCTGCTTTATTCCATTGTTAAGATCATTCAGGACAAAGAAAAGTCTGACACAGATGTAACATTTCTTAACAAAACATATTTTAATTAATTTTAACTCTTAAACTAATAACATTACTGACTTGTAAATTCTCACAGAAATAATTCCGCACTCATAAAGTACATACTGTAAGACTGGGGAGAATACATTGTGGTTTTTATACAAAACAAGTTGATCCCTGCTTTAAGTACAAAATGGAACTCAATCTTAACAATTGAGTTGCAACCACTGAGACCCAGATCCTCAGTGGGAGTTAGTAGGGTTGCCAACCCTCCAGGATTGTCCTGGAACCTCCAGGAATTAAAGATTAATCCAGGGGTAGGCAACCTATGGCACGGCACGCGAGCTGATTTTCAGTGGCCCTCACACTTCCCGGGTCCTGGCCACCGGTCCAGGGGGCTCTGCATTTTAATTTAATTTTAAATGAAACTTCTTAAACATTTTAAAAACCTTTTTTACTTTACATACAACAATAATTTAGTTATATATTATAGATTTATAGAAAGAGACCTTCTAAAAATGTTAAAATGTATTACTGGCACGCGAAACCTTAAATTAGAGTGAATAAATGAAGACTTGTCACACCACTTCTGAAAGGTTGCCGAACCCTGGATTAATCTTTAATTAAAGCTTATGTCATGTGATGAAACCTCCAGGAATACGTCCAACCAAAATAGGCAACTCTAGGAGCCAGGCACATCCGACTCCATAATGTATAGGTATTCATTTGCTAGTATTGTACATATCAATGTTCATTATACCTATTGAAAGAGAAGACCCTATTCTACAATGTCTCAAGTTACTTATGGCACTGCATGTGCGCTGTACACAGCACTCAATTTTCAGCTAACAATGTAGATTTTCTTAATGCTTTTAACAGCATCCACCCAGGCTGTATTCAAGATTTCTTACAGTTATCAAGCTCATAATGATGCTAAGGTCATTTCCAAGAGAATTCCAGGCCCCTTTGCCATTGTTTAGACTTTGCAGAAGAGTGTAAATTCTTTGCTGAGCTCTGCACTGGCCTATGCAGCATTTTCAGGTATCTTATTAAAAGGCAGATCCGACCAGTCTTGAAATTATTCTAACTGCCCAAGAAAGCCCTCACAATTCTAAATGTTACCTTTTGATTTAATTCACGCTTCTACAAAGTAGATAAAAAAGCTACTGTTCCTATGGGACTTTTACTCTTTCTCTATTCGCTACTGCACAGCAATTTAACACATACTAGTACCTGAACTGCATAGTGCTGGGATGAGTACAATGAAATTGTTAAAACAACCACGTTACTTTTAGCTCCACTAAAACACAGGGAAGAAAGTAGTTGGAAAAATGGAAAATAGAAAAAAGGACACAGTCTGTCAAAAACTGTGTTTTCAAGCTTCCTTTATATTGCAAACAATAACGTGAAATAAGATGGTTATAAATGACCTCACACTGGATTTAACAACCAAGTGATGGTCCAAGTTACACAAAGCATGACCAAAAAGAAATGCATTTAGAAAGGGAAGGCTGATACTTTCTGCCTTTCAACCATCCCGGTCTTTCACCTCAAAATTCACTGCTGGCCTAGCATTGTCATGCCACTGCCGTGGCACCTATCACTGCTGCTTTGCTCTGGTTCATATACATTACCACAACTAAATCCACCACTACATTGTCTTAGATTGTCACCAGATTTAGAATGCCAGAAACATAGTCATGATCCAATGAGAGGAATATATTGAGGTAAATCTTTGCTCAGAAGTCGAAACACTGGGCAATGTAACATACCAATAGGTAAATACGGTTCCCGCTGCTGTGGTTGGGCGTTATGGTGGAATATGGTGAGAAAAATAATGACATTGGAGGAATAATATAAATACCCCTTAGTGTGAATATTCTTGACAATAGTTGATACCATCCAATGATTAAGAGAAGGTCTGATCATTGGAAAACGGTTCTGAAGAATCCCTGGGCTCTAATTCTGTTGCTCATTTACCTCATTCATTCAAGGGGGTCAGATTCACTCCTGTGCAAAGGACAATGCCTTTGCATATGTCCCACTTGAAGTCTCAAATCAGGGCTTAAGTAGGATTTTAGTGATACATAGGCCTCAGGCCTGAATCACAGGGCTGAATTTCAACCCAGAACTGCCTGGGCTTCAAAGGGACATTATAAACTCTAACAGATAAAACACTCATCCCTAGAGCTAAGAAAACAGCATAAAAATGGTCTGTGAAATCTCTGTTTGAATCTGGAAACAAATTTCAGCCTCTTTTCCAATTTGTTTTAAGCATCCACGCATCCAAATGTGGCTGGTGCAAACACATGTGAAAAGCAGCTTTTTAAAGAGTTGCCAAAAGCCAGTTTTAATTAGATTTGTAACCTCGCTGGCTCAGGGGCTGTCTTTTTGGTCTGTGTTTGCACTGCATACAATGGCGTCCTGGCTCATGACTGGGGCTCCTAGATACTGTTATTATCAATAATAATTCATAATAATGTTAATAGTCCAAGTCACAGTTCATGTCCACCATCCTGACGCAAACTGTGATTTGTTTATTCCGTTCCTGCTAGTTTGTCTAGGAGATTATTGGGCCAGATTCTCAGATGGTGCAAATCAGAGGCGCACCACTGAGGAGCCGTCCTCCTCCTTCCCCTGTCCTCAAATGGTCTCTGTCCTTGATCAGTCCCTTTTGGAGTCACCGCCACTCACTTTCACTCGTGGTAGGTGGCAGATTACAGAACAATCTGAACTTGTTTGGAAGCACATCCAGTTTATTTGCTACCTCTAGATTCTGGCAGCCACTGTCATGCTGAACTTGGCTGGAACTGAGCTCCCCCTCTTCCTGACTCTAGCCAGGTCTCTCGGGCCTGTGCTGAGGACAGCTGTCACCACCAGAAGGCTGCTGTAAATGCGGAGGTGATAAGAACAGTCAGCTGGCCTAGCAGGGTTGGGGGAGGGGTGGGTAGAATGTTTCATTTGGAAAGTTTGAGGGTCTCTCAATGTCTCTTGATGTGCAGAGCACAGAGCCTCTGCCCTGGCCACAGTCCCCATTGGACTAACCCGTCTTACCACCAAGGTAAGGAGCAGAGAGAACTTCGTCTGAATGGATCCGGAAAGCCAATATTTGGCCTTTCAAGTTCAATATTTACAGAGAGATTTTCTTGTGTGGGTCATTTGAAATGTTTAATTTGATTGCAGATGGCAAAGAATAGCACAGGGAATGTGTCCCTGTGGTGGTGGTGGTGGGGGTTTAAAAAGTGGGTCAAGACAATTTATTGGCATTTAAATTAAACCTGGAGTTTTGACTTCCAAATAGTTTGCCAGGAAAGTATGTTTATTTTGTAAATCACATTGTTTTGTGTTATTAGACCATGCTGAAACACAGCTCGGTGGTATTAATACTAGTTGACAGTGACACGGGCAATTTGATCAGACACCAAGGAAAATAATCCAAACAAAATACCTAAGGGGGAGGAAGAGTATATTAACCAACTACAGGTGAATCTTTGCTGTTAACCTGGTAATGCTCTTAGTCAGCTCCTTATACTGATACAGAGATTAGGTTAGCAAAATTTTGAGTGGAGGGATTACTGATTTAAAAATAAAATAAAATATCTTTACTTCATTTTCTATCGGTGCCCTTTTAAATCTAATCAGGCCATTCGAGCTTCACGTAGCCAGGGATTAGTCTGTAAGAAAAATATTCCTTTTAAAATAATCTCAGTAATAATCTGACCAGAAACAGTAAAGCTGTCCTGTTCTGAATTAACTGTATTTTAAAAAGGTTGCTCTTCCCTTTTGCAGTTGGACACCTGAGCAACATTAACCCAGTCTTTTAAACTGGGATTTTTCAAAGACAAGGGAGTGAGGGGCCCCACCTTGCTGAAATTTAGTAGAAGCTGTTGCTCAAAGTCCTTCAGGGTCCTTTGAAAATCCCAGCTTCATTTTAGCTCTGTAAAGTTTAATGTAACTCAGAAATATCCTATCAGGACACAGGTTAGGTCTTGAGAGTTTTGGACTCTAAGGGCTTGTCCACATGGGGAAATTGACAGGCATAGCTTTTCTCAAATAACTGTTCCACTATAGCTATTCTGGAATAACTCACTGTGTGAACACTCTTATTCTGGAATAGTTATGGTGCTAAATTCACACCCTAACTTGTTCTGGAATAACTTTGCAGTGTAGACAAGCCCTGAGACACCAAAACAGATATGTCAATGAAACACTTTGTTAGAGATATCCTGATACATGGGAGATTATAGAATGACAGAAACCAGGTCAGTTCCCACAGCTGGTAAAGCTCATTCTCCCTCTCATTTAAATAAAATGCAACATATATATATGAAAAATAAATCAAAACTCAATGAAGTCAATGGAGTTGCACCAGGGATGAAATACAGGTTAATATACCAACATATGGGGTGCAGTCATGTATGTATCTAGTTATTTATTTATTTAGCTACTCAGACAGTCCAAAGGAGCATAATCACTGTGTGAGAGAGAGATAGCGTGCAAGCAAGCAATACTCATACTATACACACAAGGGATCAGCAAGACTTCTGGGGTTTGATTTTCTAAAGACCCAGTTGGATGCTGAGCTCTTTGGAAAACCTGGGCCCAGCTGTGGGAAAATCTGGCCCTTGGGAGTCCAGTGAGACCAGCTCTTCCTCCAGGAGTCTGAGTTTAAAATGAGGGTCAGGAAAATGGGCAAATATCATGCTGCTGTGGCCTGCCAGTCATCTAGGTGGGTTTGCAGTGGATGCATAGGTCCAGGCTCCAGCCTCCATAGGGGCCTCTTCATGCAATGCCCCCAACCTGTCACGCACTGCAGCAGTGTTGATCTAGGCCAGGCCCTTCACAGGGTTAACCTCTAGCATCCAGTTTCAAATCAATTGCATTTATTTATTTAAGTTATTGAATTTAGTATTGGTGAAGGGGGTCAGATTCACAGCCTCGGGTACTGCAGTCCTGTCTACACACAGGGGAGGAATAGCACATGTGGTGACCATGCTGTCCACAGAAGGTACTCAGATACCACAGTGATGGGCATAAGACCCTAAACAGAACATAAGAGTGCAAGCTTCCTCCACTCTGACCTGGGGTGATCACCTATAGAGGTGAGACACTAATTAATTCCTTGGCCTCCTGCTGAGACTGTCAACCAGAAATCTAAACAGTGCCTTTGCTGGGGAGGGCAGTTTGTTAGTGCAGATAACGTGCTTGTCCCTGTATAAAAGTCAAAAGTGAAGGCAGTCCCTGCCCCAAAGAATGTACAGCATAAAAGACAGACCCAGAGATACAAAATATCCAGGAAGGATTTTTTTTAATATCGTTTTTATTAAGAACTCTCACCTTAGAAATGTCTTGCATAATGGCACTTGGAATTTAGCCACTACTACGGAACAGCACCCTTAAAACCAGAAACACTCTACAAAACTCCTTTACTACAAGGAAGCTGAAATGATAGGGACAGATCCTCAGCTGCAGTGAATCAGCATAGCTACATTTATTCCACTGGATTACACCATTTTACACCAGCTGCATGTCATAATAGCTACAGACTCCAAACTGGGTGTTAGTCATGCTGAACTTGAGACACAAAATACAAGAGGCAGGAAATTCAAGTTAACTCCAAGTGAAATCTGGATGCTCTGTCCTTTGTTTATGCAGCAGAGAGGCATACCTTCCCTGTATCATAGGGGCAAAGGTACTGATGCTGTAAGGAGCTGAGTAAAGTTGGTTAGAAAACGGACTTTTGTTCCTTGGGAAATTCCAACATTTTGAAATGTGTTTTCATTGAATCAGAACGAAAAGCTGAAATGTCAACAGTTCCCATGGAACAGAAATTCTGAAAAATTTCAATTTGAAACCATCAGAACGTTTTGTTTTGAGAAGTAAAACTGTTTTAGTTAGACAAAGTTGAAACATTATAATATAATGTAACTATTATATATATATGTGATTAAATAGAATATACTGTATATAAAATGATATAATATTAAAATTAATTTTTACTAAAAGTCAAACGAATTGAAACGATAAAGTGGAAACTAAATGTTTTTACCTTATCGAAACATTTTGACAGTAACAAAATGAAACGAGAATATCAGCTGGGGTCAAACTCTTACTACTTAGAGGTGAATGAAAATGCTCATCACCTTGGGACTAATCCTGAAGTCAATGACAAAACTCCCGTTTAGTTCCATGGGGGCCAGAATTTCACCCTTTGGGTTTGGACTGAAAGAAGCAGGTGAGTAGCAGAGCCCAACTGGATTCTCTATCCACATGGACACAACAGTGGAAGAAGCGCACACTACCGTTATTTCTCTGATTATAGTTTTGCAGCAGGATCACTTAAATGGCTGAACTCTTTTAAACCCAGATTTGATTAGATGTAAGCACCATGCAAATCACTTTCCTCTGTTCACCTTAAAGAGGCATCCCATCCCTGCAGCCCCCCACCCCCCTTCTCAGCATTACCACGCCAGGGATTCATGAACTAGGCCCACAGCACCTTTCCCCTGCTTCCCGACTAGCCTCTACATATGTCCTAAAGGGAACATGCAGCCAGGCACAAGAACAGTCAGAAAGCTCCATCTGCCTCACATTGGTCCCCTCCTCCTGACCCAGTGGTTGGCACAGGAGAGCAGCAGGTTAGGAAATGCAACAATAATACCCTGTCGCAGTTCCATGTTATCTGTCTCAGCAGAGGCTTTCACTAAACTTTTCCCTCTCTGTTTATGTGCTAAATGTGAGTCGAATCCCTGTCTGGAACGATAGTTAGCATCCATCTCCCCAGTTCTAAATATAACCCGATTGCTCAACCCTCCAGAAACCTGATCTTATGTCTAAGTGTAATAAACAGCCCTGAGGTATGTGTGAGACATAGATGCTGCAGCTATTTCTGGCCTGTAACACATCTGTAACCCAAGCATATGGGTCTCTCTCTGCTCACCGAGTAGGAGCTGGACAGAAATAGCCAGGGTACTGCAGGGTCTCTAACTGGCGTGCAAGTTAAATTTTGTCTGGGAACAATTCACAGGGTTTGGGTTTTATTTGTTTCTTTTGCTTTGGTCTATATTCTAAAAATTACTTTAGTCAAGGAAATGTGTGGTAACAGGTTGGTCTTATCAAAACACTCCCTGTTATAATCTAGTCCCCCAGCCCCACTGTTTTTCTACTGTAGATGGCCAATTCATTACTACTAACGCAGAATAAAAGTGGCTTCCAAATGTTCCTTCGGTGTCCACAGGGTGTGTTTAAAGTCTATCCCAGCATTTAATTTAGAACAGGAATAAAGATCAAAATCCTCAACGCTATTTATGTCCTAAATCCCACTGAAATCAATGGGAGTTAGGTGTCTAAATATCTCGAAAGGCCTGGGCTAATGAGACTATGGACTTCTCTGCTGTAGCATCTTCTACCCAAAGCATTCACAGTGGGTTAGAAATATTTATTAAGTTTCTCAACCCTGTGAGGTACTTAAATATTATTACCCTATTTTGTAAAGAGAGACATGGAGGAACGGGGGGATAAGGCCTTAGTTTTCAAAAGTGGCCACTGATTTTGGGTGTCCGGATGGAGACACCTTGGAAGTAATTTTCATTGGTGCTGCGGATCCACAACTCTACTGCGAGCTGTGGGTGCTCAGCGCCTCTCAAAATCAAGCCCAATTTGTCCAAGGCTGGGTATTCAAAATTACTGGCCATTTTGAACATTTGGGCCTTGATGTTTCAAGTTAGGCTCCCAAAACCTGAGGCACTCAAAATTAGTTGAAGATGTAGGCCTAAGTGACTTGCCTTAGGTCAGGAAATCCGTGGCAGAGTTGGGAGTGGAGCCCAGGTGTCCTGACTCCCAGCCCCGGGCAGGGCCAGCCCACAACATTTTGGCACCTGAGGCGGGGAGCTCAAATGACACCCCCACACCTCCTCACTTGGTCCAAAACTTTGAAAGGTCTCAATTCTGCCTTCTTCCTGTTCTACTCCTCTCATGGTACTGCTCTGCTACCTACCCCAATAATGGAGAACTAACAACTTAAAATGCCTTGTTCAAAAATTTTAAGTAACACTTAACTTTCAAACGCCTGAACAGCAAATGTAACTTTTCTTGTCTGCATAGTAAACACTGGCATCATTTTTATCTGTTTGAATAATCAAAGTGGGCTTTCCGTGCCTTCTTGGTCGCAAAGATTTGAACTGCTTCCTGAAGGTCCATAGTATGGGCCAGCTCATGCTCTATTGAGATGGTTGCAAGACCGACCAGCTTCTCCTGTGTCATTGTGGAGCGTAGATGTGTTTTTATTAACTTCAGCTTGGAGAATCTGCGTTCTCCACTGGTAACTGTTACAGGAACTGTCAGAAGTATGCATAGAGCAACAAAAGCATTTGGAAAGAGGGTGGTCATCTTATTTGTGCACATATATTCCAGAACAGCCTTTGGAGTGTCAGAGAGGATGTTCCCAGATGTTGCTTCAAAATTTGCCATCGATGAGTTGATGCAGAGAAAAATACATAGATGCTTTGAATTACATTAAAAAATTCAGCAGCCTCACTAGAAGCTGATGCTGCATCACTGACCACCAAGTTCAATGAATGAGAACTGCACGGGACAAAAAAAGCTCAAGGATTTAGCCACTCACATCCTCACTGGGGCCGGAAGGCTCACCATGAACATTTGTGTCTGTGTATCTTGGGAGAACTCCTTCCTGCTTAGATAGAAAAGCTTCCTTTGCTTTCTTTCTTTTTCTGAATGCTGCCCCAGAGGGGCGTTTTCTTCTTTCACTCATGACTGCTGTTCTGTACCAGCTATAGTGGCTCTCCACACTCAATTGAAGGGGACAAATAAGCAGGCTGGTAGCAGGGCCTGAGTGAGGGAAGATATCAGCATCTTAAAGGGCCTAACTGGCTCCTACTACTCCTGTTCTCCTCAAGTGGGTTCAGGGAAGCAGCAGGAAACAGGAAGCTCCCTGAGAAGCTGGTGTTAATCAGTCCAGGCTCCTGGGGGTGCTAGACAGGTACATAAGAGACTCCTCCTCCTCTCTCTCCTTGCAGCTCCTGCTGCTTTCTGTTATTCCCTCTCACCTTTTCTCCTGCCTGTCTGTTATGTCTCTTGTGCCCTCCTTCCTCCAGCACAGCACTCCACCATCTCTGTGCATCTAGACAGGGCCAGCTCCAGGCACCAGCAAAGGAATCAGGTGCCTGGGGCGGCCAATAGAAAGGGGCGGCACTCCGTCAGTTATTGGGGTGGCACGTCCAGGTCTTCGGCGGCAATGGTCCTTCACTCCCTCTCGTCGTCTTCGGCGGCAGCTCAATCGGGTTCTTCTTTTTTTTTTTTCCC